AAGGACCAACTATATGATTATAGGTATTAATGAATTTATAACTATTGTGCTCTAATAATTTTTCCTCTCAAAGGAAAGTACATTGAAAGATGTTAAGTTTTTCTTTCTTCTGTTACTATTTTACTTAATGTTATAATTAAACATAGCAAACCATCAAGTTAAATAATCAGGTTAGTACCGCTCTCAGGTGGTAGAGAGGAAATATGTAGGTAAACAGAGTGCCTGATATAAGTTACTAACCATTATCCAATAGCATTATCCAGATCTTAGAGCTATGTAAACTGAGGCTCACAGAGGTTGTTAGGAGCTGGGCCAGACTATCAACCCAGAGCATCCTTATTCCAACATCTGTGTTTTCTACTGCTGAACTCTGCCTCCCCTCGATCTTGAACATAATTTTAAAGCAAGAGGGACAACTTATATTTTAGATTACATTAGCAATCTTATTTAAAAGAAATGAACTTACACATCCAAGGAATCAGACTTGTTCACTCATTCAATATTCCACAAGCAAGACTATATTCTGGTAACAATGTGCTTCAGAAAGAGGCTACTTTCTCTAATTTATCAGCGTGGTTCACGGAACGTTAACATCCTCATTGTAAATCTTCAAATAATAAACCATATGTCACATGGAATTCTATTTTAGAAGATAGTGCTAACTCAACAGTATCAGGATAGAAGAACTCATCATATAAGAAATATTGAAATAAGGGGAAAAAAGACATTTTAAAGTTTAACGATAGGCCCATCAATACAAAAATTGTCATTTGAAGGAGAATGCATAGTTCTTAATCAGAAGGCAAAATTTTATACATAGATTGTAATTAATTATATCTGCTATGTTTATAACCCAAGTATCTCCTTCCAGGCTTCTTTCCCTGAGTTCCTTAATTATTGATTTATTCTGGAAAAAAAAATCCTTTCTAAAGAGACTGTGATGTATTTGTGTGTGTGTGTGTGTGTGTGTGTGTGTGTGTATTCATAGTCTCTTAAGAGCCAGGAGAATGGGAGGGAGAAAAACTGCTCAGGGTCAAGGCTACTCCATTAGTCTCTATTCTGTGCAAACAGAATAGTGGGGCAGACAACAGTGAAGAGAAGATAGCAGTAGGCGTGGAACTATAGCAATCCCTCTTCCCTACAGGCATCAAAGAGAGCTTTGCCAGGTTTCTTAAATCAGAGGAGCAGACCATGGGCTATGCCTTCAGACTCCCAATACTGACACCCAAATGTCTCCATCACCAAAGGAAGGATTAACTTGATGTGTTTACAATACCAAATATAGCCAACCCATCTAAACTATTCTGTTTGTTACCTCTGTTTTGTTTTTGTTTTTCATTTGTTATATTAAAAACTTGGTTCATATAGTCACGGGATATGGAGTAGAGAGTGGAAATGGAGTCAATGGAATTGTAATAGATAAGCATGATATCGGGGGTGGGAGGGCAGTAGATGGGGGGAGGGGGGTTGTTACTTTGTGAGGGGTGAAAAGGATAACTATTGCATTGTTCTGTACACCTGAAACTAACAATAAAATTTAAAAAAAAACTTGGTTCATTAAAGTTAAATATTGACATACATGGTTTTCATTGACTATGGGGAATGGAATGAGTATAGATCGTCTTATATCTTTTGGTTGAGTTACAATTCCAAAAATTCAAAACTAATATGTGTGTGATAATGATACTCTATATACCTACACACACAATCAATGAACAATAGTATACTTTTCTGTAATACTTTTCTTTTTCCCCATGCTTGTTCTGATTGTAGAAATGCAATTTTATGCCTGTTGTATCTAATAACTAAAAAATGTGAGCTTGTCTTTTGCATGTCCTCTCCTGATTTACATCTTCCTATGAAGTCATTATATTGTATTTTACAAGTGTTTATATCCATGATGTTGGGGGAGGGTGCTGGTTTTGCAGATGACTTGAGAAACACTTACATAGACAGTAATGGTTGACAGACCTAGTTCCTAGTGGCACTAGGCTGACATGTTTCTATTTTCATATTTGACACCTTACGTTCTGAGAGCATGGGGAAAATCCAGAGCTTTAACTAACCTTGGCGGGTTAAGGACAGGGCAGCTGGCCTAGGGAAGGTGGTGAGTCACTCACCCCTATCTGACTTTCCCCTCAAGCAGGATGCCCTAGCGTGCTCCTGAGAGATGAAAATGCTCAAGGCAAATGGATTCACATCACAATTCTGCCTCAGGTAGAGTGTAAGTATAAGAAAGTGGATGACTTATTACAAGGACCTTGTAAAGATCTTTATCTCTTCATCAGTAGAGATAAAGACACGTAAATTTGCTTCTCCTCTACACCCACGAGTCTCTCTGAGTATAAGAAGGGAACTCAAACCAACATGGGATGTTGAAACCCAAACTAGCATGTGTAACTGTAACTGAAACTGTTACTAACCATAACCGGCTGAACAATGGCTTCTCTAAGAGAAGTCAATAAAGCCAATGGTTCCAAACTTATCTGTGGAGTAAGAGTCCTGGGCTCATCTTCAGCTTCCGTCATTACCACTGTGTGTCGTTGGGCCAGTCTCTTTTCTCTCTTTGAGCCTCACTGGTCTCTTTCTCAAAGCTTTGTTTTGAGGATGAAATGACATAATGCAAATAGGAAAGCCCTGGTCTGAGTGCTTCACACAAGGAAGCGGTCACTGATGGGTATCGCCATTATGTGCTGATGACAGACAGCAACAAAAAGTGGTCATTTCTTAACTTAGGAGAGGGACCCCCAAGGCATCCTTCTCCAAGATTTCTTGAACAGGACAGCCTACTGTCCCCAGTGTTGGGAGGTATGAATAAATGAAGGATGAACTCCTGTTTGGAGAACTGACTAGAAGCTCAGTGAGTTACAATATTGGATACTTACCATCTACACCACATATTCTACTGGGCACTTTATTTAGAGTTAAGACCAAACTGGTTTTGACTCCCACCTCGATCTTTTACAAATTGTGTAAACTTGGAAAAAGTACTTAAACTCAGTTCCAGGGCCTCAGTTTTCTCACCTATGAAATGGGAAGAATGATGGTGACTCCTCCTAGAATTCTGTGCCATAGAATTGTCATGAGGATTAAATATGTTAATATGAAAGATGTTTTGACCTGAGTCAGGCACCTAGAAAGCACTCTGTGACCAAACGGTAAACAAGTTTTTTTTAAAAATAAAACAAAACATCTCCTGTTTTTCCTCCTTTGTCACTTAGCAGGTGTCCTCAGTCTCCTTAGCTCCTGTCCTCCCCTCCCCAATGTCTTAAGACTGGGCTGCACCGGGCCCAGTTCCTGGTCCTCCTTTTTGGTTTCCTTGGTATACATTTTCACTCCCTTGGCAATCACGTCCAGTTTCATGGCTTCAAATACCAGCTACTTGCTGATGACTGAGCTCTTTCCTGAACCCCAGACCCACAGTACCCTGCATATTCATCACATCCAGGTGTAGGTGTAACAGCCATTCCTGACCCAGTGTGCTCATCGCTCAACTGTCAATCTCCCACTTTTTTTTTCTTTTTCTCTTTATTAATTATCAATCTCCCACTTTTGTCTCCTCCACCCACAGCTTCCCCTTCTCACTGGAGGGCAAGTCCATCCTTCTAGCTGTTCAGACCCAAAACCCTGGAGTCCTCCATGACTCCTCGCTCCCTTATACCCCAAGTCTAACCCATCAAGGGATCCTGTAGGTTTCACCTTTAGGATGTATTCCAGGATCTCACCCCTTTCACCATCTGTACATCCACCACGCTGATCTTACCTGGTGATGGCATTGTCCTCCACACTGAATTTCCCATCTCTACTCTTTCCTGTTAATAGTATCTTCTCACAGTGGCCAGGGTGATCTTTTTACAAAGGAAGTCAAGACACATCACACTTCTGCACAAAACCTTCTGATGGCTTCCATTTCTCTGGGAGGAGAGCTAGAGTCTTGACATTGGCCTGCATGGCCCTACATGACTTAGGATTCCAGCACCTCCCTCGCCTCCTTCATCCCACTCCCCTCCAGTCACACTGGCCAAGAGCACCATGCTTACAGACCTTTGCCCTTTAGTCCCATTTGCCTGGAAGTTTCTTCAGCTTAGCTATTTCCTTCAACCCCCACCAGCCTTTGCTCAAGTGTCATTGTTCTCATTATTGCCTGCCATGATGATTCTATTTAAAATTGTAACCCCCTTCACTACTCCATAGTCACCATGCCCGGTCCCTTTCTTATTACATAGCATCGTTCACCTCCTAACATACTCTCTACCTCACTTACTTATTGCGTTAACTGTTCTATATCTGCTGTCCTCCCTGGAATATAAGCTTTCCAGGGACGGGAACATTTCTGTGTTTCACTTATTCTGAGCTCCTAGTGCACTGTCTGGCACATAGCAGAAGCCCAAGACATATTTACTAAACAGTAGCCATAACCTATAATCTCCTAAAGGCTGGTTTATTGATGAAAAGAGACTGATTAACTTGCAAAGTCAGGATCCCGACACAGGACCATGCTCTCCCTGCCATACTTTCTGCCTCCCATCATTAAACTTGAATGTACCCATCCCACCATTTCAAAAGAAACACTGCTAAGCACTCAACTCATGTCAAGTAGCTGTTGGAAGGTCATCACAGAAGTAGCATTTACTTAGTACATTTACTAGGTCAGAGAGTGAAAAAAATGACAAGGATGAGCAAGCACAGTTCGTAAGTTTCCAGTAGTAAGCTTAGATCACTTAGCTGAGAGTCCTTAAATAATGTATCCTCTGTCAAGGCCAAGTGACCACACTGGACTCTCTTAGGCAGCTGCACAATCCAGTGACATGAGAAAATATCACTTTTCCTAACATTATAACAACCAAAGCTTCAATAAGATGCTTTGCATCTTATTGCAAAGCTTTGCAATAAGATTGCAAAGTTGCATCTTGTGAAAGATGCTCATCATGATAGTCTGAAAGATCAGGTTTCATCCTGGTAAAAGGAGGCACTTTGCTGAGAGAAAAAACTCAACTCACCAGGATGAAGACAGTAAAGAATATGACGACGATCGCAGCTGTAATGAAGAGCTTTTTCCGGGGAAACACAGCAGCAGGAAGGAGAAACACTAGCGCAAAGCAGATGGCACCTCGGAGCCCCCCATAGGCAATGATAAACTGATCCTTAAAGGTCAGGGGGATCGTCCGGAACCAGTTAATGGCCTGAGTCAGGACAAAGACACCTGAGAAGGAAAACAAAACCAGTGAAAACAGACTGTGTAAGGCCAGAATGTGTAAATACAAAGATGCATTTTCTGTGCTTCTGTGACAAGGCAGAGGATTTAACAATATGCCCCATGGAATCTTTCCCTCTTTTCCTCTGCTGTATTTGTACTACTAGGCTACTGGGCCTTTGTTGTTCCAAAATAATGGGTGAAAATGTGGAATCAGAGTAGCTAAGAGGGATTAACTGGATTTATAACAAGGGCATGACAATGCTCGGGGAAGAAAAGATCAGGAAGGGAGAGAGGAACAGAAAGAGGAAGAAAGGAGGAAGAGAAGATGAAGAGGAGGAGAAAGAAGAGATGAGGAACATGGAGACAGGGAGACAAAGAAGATGATGCAGCAGCAAAGGGGAGGGAGGAGACAGAAGCCCCATTCTTTTTGGGACTGTTGCCGACTGTTCATTTGGGGAAACGTGCTCATTACCCAGTGCTCGCCAGATCAGACAGAAGGCCAGGGTGAAGCAGACAAAGGCCCAGTTCCACTCGTGGTTCTTCCCAACAGTGGACACACCCATGAAGATGAAGATCAGGGTCTCGCTGACACTGCTCAGCATCTTCATGAAGTACTTGATGGTCGTGTAAGATTTCTGAGATACGTTTTCTTCCACATACTTATTCATAGTCATTGCACAAGCAATGATTCTGCAAGAAAAGATACAGCTTCTATTTAAACATGACAATGATCCTAATCAGAATATAAGAGTTAACACTTAAGAACTCAATTATGGCTCTACCCTTCTGCCCATGAGCACAACATTATGGACTTATTTTTAAAAACGAATGTGATTTGCTTGGAAACCCTACTATCTGTGGAGGTCTTCATCTGTACTACTTGGCTCTGCCCAGCTTTGTCCTCTACAGCAATCCTTACCCCAGCTCCACATTCTCAAAGGTCTGTGGACACTGGCACCATTAGCTATCATGTCAGCATCGCAAATAAAACCAGTCCATCATGGGTCGGCCAAGTGGCTCAGTTGGTTAAGAGTTAGCTTAAGAGCATGAGCTCTGAGCAACAGGGCTGCCAGTTCGATTCCCACATGGGCCAGTGAGGCTGTGCCCGAGCTTAGCTTCCACTAAACTGCCAAGAGGTGACAGGATGGTTCAGCTGGTGAGAGCACATACTCCTAACAACAAGACTGCCTATTCGATGGTGGGCTACACCCGCCCACAACTAAGACTGAATTTGGCAACTTGAGCTGAGCTGCCGTCTAGCTGGCACTGTGGATAGAGTGTGTTCTCTTAACAACAAGGCTGCTGATTCGACTCCCACATGGGATGGTGGCTACGCCCACCCGCAACTAAGATTGTAACATAGCACCTTGAGCTTTGAGGCCACAAGCTGCCAACAGGCAGCCAGATGGTGACTGGCACCCTCTACAACTAAGATTGAAGAACAACAACTTGGCTGGTCCCCCTCCCCAATTCCCCAATTAAAAAAAACACAAAAAATCAACAAGTCCATAATAAATTCAAGACCAATTATCTTCCTATAAAACAAGATTCATCTTTTCTATTCCTCTGGTACCTTACATACTAAGCTATTGCCTAAAATGCTTAACCTGAAATTGTGGTCGCATTGGCCTTCTCTCCACTGCCACCCTTCCTCAGCGCACCCCCACCACCACCACCATAATTGGTCACCAGTTGTTTTCTATTGTTTGGTCCAAATAATTGCTCACCAATTGTTTCTGTCATCCTGAGTGTCTCTAGGACCCACTCTCTCTTTTTTGTCCCGATGCCTTAGTTTCAGGTCTCATTTCTACTTATCTACTGTATCTACTTCCGGGAAATTTAAAATATATCAATAGGCTCTGAGAATTCCTAAAGGAAAGAAATGCTTTTTGCGTATTTTCCCCAACATATCCCATACTTTGGGACCTCACAGTGCCTATTTTAATATAGCACCTTTGTACACTCCAGTAAGGGAAGGGCTCTCGGGTCAGCTCCTAAGTTGGACCCCTGAAGCTCTTCGCACGCTTCCCTCAGTGGACAATTCCAGTTACACCCCATTCGCCTCCCAGCACCTACCATGTGCTTCAACTGTCTGTAACTTGCCAAGCGTTCCCTGCTCTTTGCTGCCTTTCTGCCTCACTTACACATACGCTCCTCTATCTGGAAGGCAACACCTGACCAACTCAAATGCCACCCATAGAGGGAAACTTGGCATAAGCTGGATGATAGCTCATAGTAGGTTCCATCTACAGGGACACGGTTACTATAACATACCAAAAGGACTTCATTATCAAGTGTGTTGTAGAATGAAATAAAACAGATTCCAGGAAGCTGTCCCTCTCCTTCCACGGTGTGATCCCATGTCTTAATCCCACTGCTGGTCAGGATCTATGAGGTTCCCACATTCTCACAACTTTAGAACATGATGACTCTACGTGTCCCCTTACCCCCAACCACTGCACATGGTCCTCTCTTCCTGAGAGGCTTTCTGATGTTTTAGGGAAATCCTCCTTGCTATGAGTCCGAGGATATAAGAATGCAAGCCTGAGAGCTCTCTGAGTTAAGACCTAAGCAGGTAACCGTGAACGTATTTCATTGCAAGGAACAGACCTGCTCCTCACACAGAAAGCGTGTATATTTACTTTTGTGCCACATATTATTATAAAACAAAACAATCCCACCTAGCCAAGGACCATGCATTTAGCCACCATGTCACTGCCCCCAGAATAAGCAGGTATTTCTCCATTTGTTATTTTTCCATTTGTTATGTGCGAGGAATGCATAATTCGTATTGTTACCAAAAGAAAGAGCGCCTTATTCAATGGGCTAATAAAATCCAGCAGCCATAAACACATGGCACAGCCTTTAAATAGCTAAGGGCTTATATAATAATAATAGTCACAGTGTTTATAACACCTCTCCTCTGTGCCAGGTACTGTGCAAACAAATTGTCAGTATTGTATCAGTGAAACCTCACAACAAGCTTTGGAGGCAAGTTCTATTATCATTCTCATTTTACAGTTCAGAGGACAAATGCAGACAGAGATCCACTTATTCAAGATTACACCACTAATAAATGGCGGTGCCAGGATTTTAACCAGGAAGTCCGCCGCAAAGCCAGCACTGTTAACAACTTAACCCTCACTCTTTCCAAGCTCACCTTGAGCCCGATTATCTCTGATGAGAACGAGGGCTTCCTCCCCCGCCAGGCCCTTGCTCCTGCTCTCTCAAGCACAAGCGTGTTTGTATTAGTTTCCTATGGCTGCTGTCTGAAATTACCAAGAACTCAGTGACTTGCGACAACACAAATTGATCATCTTATGCTTGCAGAGCTCAGAAGTCCAAATTCCCTTCCACTGGGGCTGAAACGCAGGTGGCAACAGGGCTTGTGTTCCTTCTGGAGGCTCTGGGGGAGGACCTGTTTCTTGCCTTGTCTAGTTTCTGGAGGCTGCTCACATTCCTTGTCTGGGGGTCACATCGCTCTGACCTCTGCCTCCTGGTCACACACATTTCCTTCTCTAACTCTGACCGCTCTGCCTTCCACTCATCAAGATCCTTGCGATGACATCAAGCCCACCCGGATAATCCAGTGTCACCTCCCCATCTCAAAAGCCCAGCTTAATCACATCGGTGAAGTCCCTTTCGCCATGTAAAGTATGAATATGTTTATTCACAAGTTCTGGGGATGAGAATCTTTGCGGGTTCATTATTCAGTGGACCACACCATCACTGGCATTCACCTCCTTTGTGGTGGTGGCCACAACCAAATCCATGTCCCCAGATGAGTGTGGCCAGAGCTGCTCACATCTGCTTGGTGACAGAAGCTAGCAGGAGCTCTGTCACACAGATTTGACAAAGAAGACCAGCCGGCGATAGAGGCACGGAGAGCAGAGTGGAAAGTGGCAATCTCTGAGGGAGCCTGCAGGGGGCGCCTTGCCAGTACCCACCTGAACATAAACCATTGGTTAAGCACATTTCGGAACATCTTCATCTGTCATACTTTGCGTTAATGTTTCTTTAACCAGACTTTAAAAAGTGAGATATGCCAAAAAGTAATGAGGGTGAAAGCCAGAGTAAATTAAGAATCTGAATCATAATATGCTTTATGAAGAAAAGACATACACAGCAACACAAACTAACAAGCCTTTCAGAAATGTTGACATGTTGAAAATTTGTAACAAAACAATTTGTAATGGCCATATTACTTCCTGAAATTCTCTAATGCTATGCAAAAGATGCTTCACAATGATTTTAATAGAAAGCATTTAAGCTTAGAGAAAAAAAATGGAGAACGTTAAACATCAAAGTACTCACTACCCAGCTTTTTCTAATCACTTTTATGTTTTAAAAGAAAACATCAACTATAGAGTTGAAATTCCTATGCTTCTCATACCAACCGAATTTTCCTCTGTCCCTCTTCACTTCAGATTTTTTTGCTTGTTTGTTTATCTTTCAGAAAGTGATTGTTCAAAAGCTGGAGAATATCGTTTTAGTGAATGTGCTAAACATTTCCCTCTGAGATGATGTTCATATCAGTCACTGGGCACAATGTGAGCCATACAGGCAAAAATTCATCTTCAGTTCATTATGTGAGTAATTTAACAAAAATTTCTATTCAGAAATGATTGAAAAATACAGCTTTGGTGTAGGAATTAAAAAAAATTTAATTTTACATGAATGTCCACGGGATCAATTTCCATTGCTTTGTATCCTTAACATGACACCGGGACTGAGGCTCATGTCTGCCAGACACCTCACTGTAACTTAATTCTGTTTCCGTCCAGCACAGGTAAGATGCTGAAGGGATGAGCACGCTCTCAGTGGGTTCCAGAGGCCTCAGTGCCTGGCAGTGCCCTGGTCAGGAAATGTGGGCACGTCTGTGACATTGATGCCCCATGCACCCTGGGGACAAATGTTCCCAATGTCCTTGATCTGGTGTTACAGCTCTCTGTACATGGCCTCTCAAGCAAAGGCCAGGAGGAGTGTTCATTGCAAAGAGGTTTTCCATTGCAGTATACTCTGACTTGAAGTCAAACCACCTCACTCAGTAACATCATAAGGACACAAAACAACAAATGAGCTAGTCTCCCTCCAACTAGGAAGGCAAACACAATACAGTCTCCCAGGAACAGAGAAAAATAAAACCTTCTCTGTCCTGTTCCTAGATCACCTACAGCTAACAGTCACAAATGTCACCATAAAACTGAGTCTGCTTCATTTTTCTGAAAGCAGCACCAGAAACATATAGTGCTAAGGAATGGTGCAGGCTGCTGACTGTCCTCAGCCATATTGGTTTGGAGTATGGAGTGGGCAGAAGTGTTCTTGGGTACAACGTCATGTCATGGCATGTCTCAGTAGCACTGCACGTTACTGAGAGATGAGATTTCTTTTTCCATCCTCATGTGAACACATGGGATTTCATGCCTAAAGTCCACAGCCTCTCACCCTGATTCTGAACATCAGTGTGATGGTATCTACACCAAAATAATAACCTAAATAGACTCAACACATTGTAGAAAATTCCAGTTGAATTTCTTAACCCTAAAGGTCCTTCAAACGTAAAACTATTGGCCTTTAATATTTCAATACAAACTTCCTTTTATTAGCTCATGTCATTGAATCATCTTCCCCCACTTTCCATGCCTCCCTTTTCTAATCTCCATATTTAATTAATATAATGGTAAATAACA